GAGAGAGGAGAGAGAGAGAGAGAGAGAAGGAGAGAATTTTTAATATTTATTTGTTTTTTAGTTCTCGGCGACACAACATCTTTGTTGGTATGTGGTGCTGAGGATCGAACCCGGGCCGCACGCATGCCAGGCGAGCGCGCTACCCCTTGAGCCACATCCCCAGCCCTTTTTTTCAGAGTGTAAAATAGAAATTTATTAAAGGACAGCAGAAAAGACTTCTCCCAGAGGAAGAAGGGGACCCAAGTTTTTGGCAGACACAACATCTTTGTTTGAATGTGGCAMACATGCCAGGCTAGCGGGCTACCGCTTAAGCCAAATCCCCAGCCCACATCCATAGTCCGTTTTGTTTATTTTTGAGAAGTGTTCTTACTAAGTTGCCCAGGATGACCTTGAACCTGACATTCTCCTGACTCACCTCCCTAAGTATCCAGGATTACAAGTGTGTGCCTCTTTACCTGGTGGCTCTTACTTTTTTTGTGTTTGTGTGTGTGTGGTACTGGAGGAGATTGAACCCTGTGCCTCACCCATGCTAGGTACACACTCTTAACACTGAGCTACACCCTCAGGTTCCTGAGAAAAGTTTTAGTGTGCACTCCTCCTTTCTTTAAACTAAAAACAACAAATGATGGGTTAACAAATTATACTTGAAGCTGTTTACATGATTTTATCACAATAACATAGATATGAAAGGAAATTACCCCCAATCTCCTAGAAAACAATTTTTTTTTTCATTTGCCAAACTTGCTTCCCAGTCTTTGTTCATGTTACAAAGCTAAATCTTTGCATGAATGCTTTCCTGGTGATACAAGGTATATATTTGTAATCTGGGAAAGGGCAGTGTCTCCCCAGTTGCCTTGGGTACTGGACTTCATCTTCTGTGCACAAGGAATCCTGCCTCAGTCTCATAAGTAGCTGAGGCTGAAAGTGTGTGCCACTGCATCCAGCAATGTTTGCAATTTTTAATGGCTGTGACATATTTAATTAACTGGATTCTTATAATTTGTTCAACCATTTTCATATTGTTGGACATTTCTCGAGATGTAGTTTTTCAGTGGAGAGAACGAAAACTTTGAAAGCAGATCTTTGTTGGAAAGCATAGTTGAACCTCTGGTTAAGTAATCTTGTAAAAGTTATTTAATCTTTCTGAAACTGCTTTGATGAATGAAGATGAATTTTTAAAAAAATATTTATTTTTTAGTTGTAGTTGGACACAACACCTTTATTTCACTTGTTTATTTTTGTATGTGGTGCTGAAGRTTGAACCCAGGGTCTCATACCTGCCAAGTGAGCGCTCTACCGCTGAGCCACAACCCCAGCCCTGAAGATGGATTTTACTAGGGCCTACACTTTTACTCTGCATTTAGAGGTGATTTATAAAAAGTCCTGGCAAACATATGGATATTCAATAGACGTCATTACTTCAGAATTTTGTAATTACAAAAAAAGTAATGTGAAAAATAGCATTCACACATAAAGCTTAACATTTTGTATTATAGTATTTCCTTAGCATAAACAGTCTCATAAATGGGATTACTGGGTCACGGAGTATAAACTTTTTTTTTTTTTTAACATTTAGAAATATATCTCAAATTGCTTTTCAAAAAAGTTAATTCAGAAGGGCGTGGTATCACACACCTGTATCATCAGCCACTAGGAAAGCTGAGGTAGTAGGACTGCAAGTTGGCGTCTAGCTTCAGCAATTTAGCGAGTCCCTGTCTTAAAATGAAACAACTAAATACATAAAACTGGGAACATAGCTCAGTGGTAAAGCGCCCCAGAGTTCAATCCCCAATGCCCGCCACCCTCACCAAAAAAAAAAAAAAAAAAAAAATCCTTTGATTATACAGCTATTACAAGGATTGCATCAAACATTGTATCAGATTCCCTAGGTATATTATATGAAATCTTTGTAACTCATTGTCTTAATTTTCTTTCCGTGGTTTAAACGTTTTTTTCTCGATGAGCAGGACTCCTCGGTGGGAGCCCAGCCACGTGGGCTGCGTCTGCGTCCGCGRACTACATTTCCCAAAGCCCTCCGCTGGCGCGCCGACAGGAAGTGGCCGGAGCATCTCCCGCCTCCACACCGAGGCGAAGAGGTTCTATCCGGGGCCTTGGCGCTTCTCTTTCCTTTCGCGCCGGTTGCCGCTGCGGAGCGCGGCGGGTCCATGTGCGCAGTGAGTGGCGCTACTCTTGCCCCAGTAGCATCCGTGCTCCGGGTTTGACCGAGTCCGCGCTACAATGGACCCCAATACCATTATCGAGGCCCTACGGGGCACCATGGACCCAGCCCTGCGCGAGGCCGCGGAGCGCCAGCTCAATGAAGTAAGGACGCCCGGCTAGCGGCGGTGGCGGCGGCGGCGGCGGCGGCGGCGGCGGGCGGGCTGACTCTGGCAGGCAGAGCCCTCCCGGCCTGGCCAGAAGCGCGGACGGTGTCGCCAAGGGGCCCATATGGAGGGGTCGGGTGGAGACCTGACGGCAGTGCCACGCCGGGACGCCTCAGGCTGATGTGGTGGAGGTGGCAGCCGCCAAGGCTGCCTGATTCCGAGCTGGGCCTCTGGCTATGGTCTAGGCGTGAGGAGCCGGCCCGGGCGAGGCGGGCGTGACGGGCTGGACACACGGCTGGCTCCGGTGGCTGGCCGCCCTCTGGCTCACATCCAGCTCTTTCCTTGAGTCCAGGAGGGGGCGAAACTCACTGGGAGGCTTTCAGACGTTTTCGTGAGCAGTCTTGTCGGCGCCGAGTCTGAGGGGCTCCTGGGAATGCATACTGGTTTATGGGGGGCTGTGCATGTCGAGCCTTGTCACTTCGCTGGGCTGATCAGTGGCCTGCCTCTTGGTCACAACTTATTTCTGGCGAGCTGCTTTAAGAGGGAAGCCTGCGCCTCATTGGTAGGCAGGAGTAGTGTGGGTTAACACATGAATCTGATCCTTGCTCTTCTCCTGTCATAATGCCACAGTCGAGAGGCGGAGTGATGTAGTGGAAAGGGTCAGGTGAAGTGCACCCTTCTAGGTGTAGCTGCATCACTAATTTCTTGAGTGACCTTGGGCAAGTTGCTTAACCTTTTGATTCTTAGTTTTTTCCATTCATAAAATTAGGACACAGGATTGCTGTGATGGTCAAGTGAGATAATGTAAATCTGAGAGCTTTGAAACGTGCTCCACTTGCAGATCATTTTAGATGCTGCGTTTGCTGAGGGTTAGTTTCTTCTTGCCCTGTATTTTTTGGAGAGCACCCCTTGGAAAGCATTACCACGTGGCTATCTTATTGTACTGTGTTCATCATCATACCTTGTTTCTTAACTGGTACAGTTTTAGATGTTAATGATTTCTGTTTCAAAGGCTTCCTCAAAGGACTATTGTAACTTCTGTTGCCAGTTAATAACCGTATTTTGATATATTGTTGAATCTGTCAGTTTTAGTGATTTAGCATACATTTTTGAACTTAAAAAGAAGTTCCACTTTAAAGAGATTCAGTTATTATATGCTTGTCTTAGCTGACATTTAAAACATTACTTTTTGATTTATCAAAAGCAGCAGGAATACCACCAATTGAACAACATCTTGTACAATGTTGTACTACAGAAACAGTTCAAGAAGACTACTCAGTTCAGATGAATTAAGTGTAAAATTTCAAGCCAAAAAGTTAAATCTTTTCTATGTTAAGATCATCATACTATGCTTAACAATTGCATGCTCAAAGTCACCTTGGGAGGAGCTTAGATTCCTATTGGTATAAAAGAGGAAGTTGAAACAAATTCCCACTTCGAACCATTACTAAACTATGGGGGCAGTTATGGATCACTTTTTGTTTTGACTTGTGTTATGATAGACATGAATTTTGATGAACATTATTTTGCTTATGAAGTATTTATGCAGGTGTAAGCCTAGAAAAGCAAAAAGTAATTTTTACGTAACTTTGCTCTTWATAGCACATTACTTTGACTAAATATACTTGCATGTAATTATTAATTTAAAACACTGTTACTTGAAAGTGTTGATTCCCTAACATAAAAATTGCATAAATAATACTTWGTGCAAATTTGAAAATCACTTATTGTTTCAAAAATTAAATTAAAATTTTTATTGGCACTTTGTAATTTTACATAATAGTGGGATTCATTATGCCATATTTCTATGTGCGTTTATGAATCATTTTTTGGGCAGGTGTTTCATTTCTTGTTATATGCACTAACGTAAAAGACCTGGGGTAAGTATTTCACAAGCTAGTCTTTGGAAGATAAATAATCAATGGTATTCAAAGCCTTTTATTACTTAACCATTGAGTTGCTGTTTTGTAATACTATGGAACAGTGGACACTGTTGATCTTTTTTTGCAGAAAATGTGTTTTATAGCTTTTATGTCTGTGATTGTTAGCTGTTTACATTTCATATATGTCTTACAATTATTACAGTAATATTTTATAGTAATTTTCCTAAGGTACCTTTTTAAAAAATATTCATTTATTTACATGTTTATTTATTTACTAACATACTTACTTGTTTTGTGGTACTGGGGATTGAACCCGGAGCACTCTTACACAGAGCTACATCCTCAGTCCTTTTTATTTCGTTATTTTATTTTTTAAATTTTGAGACAGGGTTTTGCTAAGTTGCTAAGACTGGCCTCTACAATCCTACTACCTCAGMCTTCAGAGTTGCTGAGATTACTTCTAGAATATTTACTAATTTCTAATCTTTATTCCATTTTAATGCATTAGTTCCTCCCTCCCTTATATGTGAGTACTTTTGCTTTGACTTTTTTGAAAAAAATATTTTTTAGTTGTTGATGGACCTTTATATTATTTATTTATATATGGTTTTGAGACTCGAACACAGTGCCTCACACATGCTAGGCAAGTGCACTTCCACTAATCTACAACCCCAGCCCTTTGACTTTTTGTGACTGAAACTTGATTTAGGGAGAAGATTCCGATTGAGTCTTGAAGCTTGAATATAGTAAGAATGAGGAAGTAACATTTTTATTCTTGAGAGACTAGCTTTGAAAACTATTGATCATTCTACATGTCTTATCATTTTACTGAAGCTATATTTTGGCTCATTTAGTTAAAGGAAAAATATCTTTAACATGTGAATGAATCTTTTCTTCACTAAGTGAAGTAATCACTGACTGTAAAAATTGCAGATGTTTTCAAAGTATTTATAATGTAGATAGTATGAAAACAAAACTGCTCTGGCCATAGAGTCTTTGCACTTAGCTGTTACATTTGCTTGGAACTCCTTTTATTCAATTATCTCCCTGACTTGTTCTCTTATTTCCTTTGTCTTCTTATCACCAAGGAGTTCCCTGGTTACCACACTCCCTGTCTCTCTGCATTTGTTTGTTTTTCTCTGTAGCACTGATTTATTGTACATTTTATTTCTGTTTTTCCCCCTATAATTTTTAAGTTTCATGAAGGATGGAGTTGTCTTTTGTTACTATTATAATTTGATTTGCCAGTGTTAGATTTTATTCACTGACTTAATATCACAATATRTAATAGTATAGAATTTAGCTCTGTTATACCCCTTTCAACTCAAGGATGTTTCATCTAGTTATAGTACTTAGATTGTTAGAAACTGCACTGAAGTCTCCATTTTTAGCAGGTATTATCAAGCTACATCTACTTAGTATGACTTATTCTGTAGTATGTTTTATGTTTTGATGGCTCTTTACTTTTTGGACCACTGTTTCAATTTTGGAACTTATTGTCACATCCCAATTCTAATTATCTTCATGTGGCAAACTTTGCCTTTATTATTGGAGAAAACAATGGAAAGGTACAAGTTGGAAATTCCATTGAAAGCCCTTTAGATGTTTTAAGTACTGGAAAGTTCTGACCAGTCCTTCCTAGGAATTTTTGAAAGATTGGTTCCAGAACCACCTTGGTTTAGAAYACCAAGGATGCTCAAGTCCCTCATAAAAGGTAGAATTTCCACATAACCTGTGCATATATATCCTCCCTCTACTTTCTTCTTCCTCCCCCTACTCCTCCTTCTCCTGCTGCTGCTCTTCTTCTTTTGTTGCAATATTGGGGTTTTGAATCCAGGGCAGTCTGCCTCTGAGCTATATCCCCATCCCTTATCTTTTACTTGGAGACAGGGTCCTGCTAAATTACCCAGCCTGGCTCTGAACTTTGAATCCTCCTGGCTTGACCTCCCAAGTCACTGGTGTTACAGGTGTGCACCAGCAACATGCACAGCCATAAACTGAAGTTTTTATATGTAATGCCAAGAAAAAATCTTGAAATATATTCTGAATGATACTCTAGTCTGGTTCATTTAACACCAATTATCTGTATGCTAAATAGTAAGCAAAGTTGTTAGAAATTGAATACTTACCTGCAGTCAAGACTGTAATGGAGCTCTTTGTATGTTTTAAGTGAGAAAACTATTATGTATGACTTTGGTAAAAGGCAGATATGATATCAGCATTAACAGTCCCTGTCTGTCACATTTGTAGCCAAGAGAAATGCCCTAAGTGGAATTTGAAGGCTTACCTATAGATGTCATTTAAACCTTCAGTTCCTAAGCTTAATGTGCCATGAAATGGTTATATAGGCAAAAATGCTGCTGCTTCCTTACATGTTTTATGTGAAAAAGCAAATGAACTTAGTTTTGATATATTTCTTTATTTTGTGTTTACAAATGGTGATGGACAAATTAGTGTTGTGATGGACCTTATTTATACATGCTAATTTGATTTTTATTTTTATTAAAAGACAAAATCAAGTGCAAAATAATGCCATATTTGTAGGCCAATTTGCACATTAAACAAAATACTTAAATGTGTAGTGTGTACATATATGCCGCAGTCTGTCTGGGCACAAAATAACCGAGCCGCCACAAAGCCTTGTAGGTTCAAACAGCAACTCTTTATTCCTGAACTCTCACCGGCACTCTACACACACTTCCCGGGAATACATTCCCTCCGCCGCGCTCTGCTGGAGAACTCAATGGGAACTCCAGAGTAGCGGGTGCCGAGGCTGCAGGATCCACCCTAATCCCCAAGCTGCCCTAATCCCAGAGCAGGGTCACCTTTTAACCATTCCCTCTAGCAAAATGCGAGGTGTCATTCTGACTAAACTKTGGCTCTCAACACGTATATATGTATGTGTACACACACACACTCTTTTGGGGGAGGGTACCARGGATTGAACCCAGGGGCACGTAACCACTGAGCCACATCCCCAGCCCTTTTTAAAAATTTTTTATTTTGAGACAGAGTCTTGCCAAGTTGCTTAGGGCCTAAATTGCTGAGGCTGGCTTTGAACTTAGAATCCTCTTGTCTCAGTCTCTCAAGCTGCTGGGATTACAGTTGTGTGCCATTATGCCTTTCTA